CCGGGGTGGCCGGACTGGAAGGGCAGCTCTGTGGGGCTCACTCTGATTGTCCCTAAGGGTGGCTTTTATCAGGTGGATATTGTCAGCCCTCCCACAGCTGCTGCAACCATCCCGATGCACGCAGCAGGTAGCCCAGCACAAGCCCAACGGCCCACTCACATCACACGTGGCTGTCATGCGGCACACGGGGCTGGGATTTGGAACACGCGATGACAGCGCACAGCAGGACCGTGGGACTGGCGGGTGAGCGGGGCAGCTCCTCCTGCCCTCGGGGAAGGGGAGGAGGGCGTGGTGGGCTGCCTTACCGACTGGTCCGTGGTGAGCGGCTGAGGAAGTGCAACCTAGGGGTCTGGATCAGCGAAGCGATCAGCCCGATGAGGTCGTTGTTCATGTACCCGGGATACCTGAGCGTGGTGGTGCTGGCAGACATGATGGTGGAGACCTGGGGGAGAGGATGGGCTCAGCGTCAGCTCTGCTGCGCTCACAACCTGCTCCACGCAGCCAGGGGAAGCTGGGGCACCTGCGGAGGCTCACGGCTCCAGGCTGCATGCCATCGTGCCCAGCCCGTGGAGCAGGTTCAGACCGAATCAAAGACAGCGGGGAAGCCCCATGCCGGCTTCTCCAGGGGGAAGAGCCCTTCTCACCAGCTGGTTGATCTGGGACGATGACGGGGTTCTTTTATCTGGGAGAATGACGGGTTCTGAATGTGCAGCCGGTCTGTCGCGATCCGATTCAAGGCTGTGTTGTCCAGAACCACCTGCAAGAGAAAAACCAGCTCTGTGAGGAGCCTCAGAGGAAGGGCAGCCCCAGCCACATCTCCTGGGGCACCAGCTTGCCCAGCACAGGCCCTGAGCGCTGGCGGAGCCCTCCTCGGCAGGTGGCAGACACTGGAAACCACAAGCTGACTCATCAGTGGAGCGTAACCGACACTGTCAATGGGAGCTCTTCCCTCCCTCCCGTCCTGGCTGAGCTCCCCAGCGCTCTCCCAAACAGCACTGCCTCTGGGCCCGCGCCTCGCGGCAGCCTCCAGTCCCAGCAGCTCTGGGGCAGCCGCTCTGGCCCTGCCACATGCAGAGACAAGCTGGAAGGGATGAGCAGAGGCTTGGTAAGGACCTGACCGAAGGCCCTGGTGCAGGCTGAAGACGCTGCTCAGCTGGGGCTTGTGGGCGCTGAAGGTGACGCTGGGATTGAGTTCAGGTGGAACGCTGCAGCGCTGCTGTGCAGAAGCACAGCCAGTCCTCACTGCCGTGGAAGAACCTGCTGGACCCCGGAGGCAGAAATGCCAAGCCAGACAGCTCCGCAGTGCTTAGCGCAGAGCCCTCATCCCCAGAGCCACCACATCTGCTCCGTCCTTCTGCACAGGGGGAACTGCGCCTGGGGCTTCGCAGGCACATCGCAGGCTGCTGCGGCGCTTGCCCCACACAGCTACAGCACTTGCCCTGGGAAAAGCTGCCCCGCAGGAGCTGGCCTGACACGCAGCAGGACCCTTACCACGCAGTCAGCGTTCTGAGTCAGCCTCTTCAGCGTCAGCAGAGAGTTGTACGGCTGGACTACAACATCGCTCATCTCATCCTGGTTGGGGAACACCGAGTAGGTCTCCACCAGCTTCTTAGGATACCTGGTGAGAAAGCCCCGCCATCTCAAGGGTTAACACCACCAAGCCAGCGCTCTCTCCTCCCACGAGCTCCCTTTGCAGTCTCCAGGGCTCAGGACAGCAGTGAGTCAGTCACCAGCGCTGCTGCCAGAGCTGGCTCCCAGGGAGGGAGAGAATTTGTCCCAGCAGTGCCTACCCCAGCAGCACAGGAGCACTGCCAGACGGAGCTACAGGCAAGGCTGAGCCATCCTCAGGCTGATTAGGCAGCTGCTTACAAGCCTTTTCAAGAGGCTGCAAGCTGAAACAGGCAGGGACGGCAGCTCAGAGCCCACAGCCAGAGCCTCCCACCCTCCCCTGCACAGTCAGGGTGTCAGGAGGCAGCTGTGTGATAAGAAGGGCTGAGGGAAGGCTGAGTTTGGACAGCACACGTCCCGTTTCAGAGCCTCTGAAGTCCCCAGGCACATCAGGAGCCATCCCTTCCCCGGGCAGCGTGCCAGGGATTGCACAAGACAGTGTTTGGGTGGGGGCGGTGGCTCTGAGTCAGCGCTCTCCAGCTCCCCGCTTGGCAGGGTGCCCTGGTGGGGCCAGACTCTGCCGCGAGGGAAGGGGACAGGGCTGAATGCTCACCTGTCATTCAGTCTCTCCAGGAGGTAGGAGCCCAGCCCCGAGCCCGTTCCACCGGCAATGGAGTGGCACAGCACAAACCCCTGGAAGGAAGCAGAACACCAGCAGCTCAAGGTTCAGCTCAGCCCCAGAGACAGGCAGAGCAAGCACGCTGTGCCACCGCCACCGCCTCCAGCAGAGTCACCAGACACGGGGAGAGCTCCTCCTGCGATAACTGAGCAGGGAGCTGACGTCTGCGGACAGAGTGGAGGGCAGCCCTGGCTCCTCCAGACCGCAGCGGCACGAGCGTGCGCCAAAGCGGGGGAATTTTCCCCCCCGCCACGTGCAACGGCTGCTGACGAGCCTCCCGGATTCCTCCCACCCCAGAACAGACTTCAGAACAGCTCCAACGTCACCTCCAGGGTCCAGTCGGCACGGACCAGGGGTACACGTTCTCAGCCCTTTCCCCAGCCCCTCCTTCCAGAGTGCCCGAGGCCAAACTCCCGCTACCTGACTTAAGGGCAGTTCCCACCTGCTGCAGGTCCCACAACGGGCTCTTGGACCTTCTGCCAACTTATTTTACGATGACGTTTTCCCTTCTCCTGCTGCCACGTGACAGCCTGACACAAACCCAGGGAGCCCTGTGTCTAAGCCCAGGAAATGGTTTTACATGGATGGGGGCCAAGGTCCTGCCAGAGGCACGGGGCAAAGCAGACAAAGCGCTGTCGGTGCCACTGGTGCCCCTTTAACCCGGCTGGAGAGAAAATAAAGCTGCAGCTGCCTGTGTTCATTCCGTGGGTTTCAAAGCACTCGGCAACTCTGGGTCTAAACCCCCTCCTGCTGGCAGCCCAGGGGGCACCAGGCACCTTGTTCCAGCACAGCCCCCCTACCCACCAGGGCCTTCGCCGGAGGATGCGCAGTGTGTGTCCTGCGTCGGCTGGCGGGGGGGAGAGATGTGGGAGAGAGGTGGAACAGGGAAAGGAAACAGCACCATAATGCCTGGAACTCTTCCTGCGGGGAAGTGCCCAATGCAAGCAGTATTTGGGGCAGAAAAATGCCCCGCTGAGCATACAGTAAGAAGATTTGTGGTGAAGCCTGGCAGATCTAGTAGTGATGGAAAAGACCTTTTCGCAGTTCCCCTCTCTACATGTTCTCTGCTCAGCACCTAGAAGCAAGTTGAGCAAGTCTGTGTGCACCAGAAGGCTGAGCTCGACCTTATAAAAGAGCAGCCTGGCTCAGAAACCACCAAGCCGGGCAACCAGATCCACATCCTTCGATTTACTTACTTCCAAGCTGTCGCTCCCATCAGCCTCTCTGTCTATTATATCAAAAATATCTTCATGGATTTTTTCTCCCTGCAAGAGAGATGAGACCACGATTGAGAAGGCCACAATAAAGCCTCACGCCTAACGAGCTGACCCGTATTTGCACCCAGGAGCACTAGAGCTGTTACCTGCGAGAAGCCACTGGCCCAGTTGTTCCCAGCTCCCCCTCCGTGCTCAGACAGGTAGATGTTCTCTGGGTTGTAGAGGTTGGCGTAAGGGGAGTTCAGGATGGAGTGGATAACCCGGGGCTCCAGGTCCAGCAGCACGGCTCGCGGGATGTAGTGCTCATCGTCGGCCTTTAACAAGGAGCAGTGAGATCAGGATGCAGCCGCAGCTCAGCGCCTTCTCGCTGCAAGAGAAACTGCAGGAGCGTGTGCCACCCCCTGGCCATGGCCGAGCACGGCACAGCCGGCGCCTGACAGCGGAGAGGAGGAAGGGAAACTCGTTATGTACAGCCCGTCCGTCATGCAGCATCCTCACGCGCCCCAGCACATCCCGAACGCGGGCAGGCGGAGGACGGGCCTGCGCTCGTGGCCGTTACGTAAGGTGGCATCGATGGCAGCCTCGTGTTTCTGCCTCCACAACACATCCCCTCCCAGAAACTGGGGCGCAGACCGCAGCCCTGGCAGCGTGCTTCCTGGCAGGAGCGCTGGGCGCAGGCCCCTGCTCACACCAGCCCGGGGGCAGCCTCAGCCCCACAGTGCCTGAGCCAGGGGCTGTGCAGAGAGCTGCAGATGGTGCTGCCTGCGTTCACCCAGGTGGCACGGACCAGACTGGTGACGAGGGAGGGCAGGTCCTGCCGCTG